TTCACATCCTTACCAACACTTGAAATAATCCATCTTTTTAATATAAGCTATTCTGGTAGATGTGTAATAGCATCGCGTTTTATTTTGCATTTCTGAATGAAAAATGATGTTGAGCATCTTTTCATGTACTGTTGACCATCTGTATATCTTTTGAAGTGTCCAAATCTTTTCCCCATTTTTTTTGTGTGTATGTGAGGAAGATTAGCCCTGAGCTAACATCTGATGCCAGTCCTCCTCTTTTTGCTGAGGAAGATTGGCCCTGGGCTAACATCTGTGCCCATCTTCCTCTATTTTATACGGGACACCACCACAGCCTGGCTTGACAAGCAGTGCATCAGTCCACGCCTGGGATCTGAACCTGCAAACCCTGGGCCGCTGCAATGGAGCGCACGAATTTAACTACTATGCCACCAGGCCGACCCCTTGCCCATTTTTATAACTTGGGTTTTTTGTCTTAATAATTGAGTTGTGTGAGAAGTCTCTATGCATTGTGGATGTGAGTTATTTTTCAGATATGTGTAATGTGACTATTTCCCCCCATTCTGTGGCTTGCCTGTAAGTGTGGACTAGACTTACACAGTCCAGTGCTGAACTCTGTGCTGTGCTCTTGGTTTCTGTGTCTGTCTTCACTAGTACCAACCAGCCTTGGTTAGTATAGATTTACAGTTTGTCTTAAAATCAGGTAGGATAAGTCCTCCAGCTGTGTTCTTATTATTAATGTTGCTGTGGCTAATCTAGGCTTGTTGCATTTCCATACAAATTTTGAAATCAGTTTGTCAGTTTCTACAAAAAAGCCTGCTGGGATTAGAGTTAAGATCGTTTTGAATCTGTAGATCAATCTGGAGAGAATTGCCATCTTAACAATGTTGAGTCTTCTAATCCTTGAACATGGTAAATCTGGTTTTTTAGGTTGTCTTTCATTTCTCTCAGAAGTGTGTAGTTGTCAATGTAGAATCTTGTATGTCTTCTGTTAGATTTTACTCCTAAATAATTTTATGGCATTGGATGCTGCTGAAAATGAAATTTATATATAATAAAAGTTTCCAATTGTTTACTGCTCTCAAAAATACAATTGATTGTTTTAAATATTAAACTTTTATCCTGTGATCTTACTAAATTCACTTATTAGTTCTCATTTTTTGTAGATTCCTTAGAATTTTCCAAGTCATCTATGAATAGGGATAGTTTTATGTCTTTTTATTTATTTTTTTCCTTACTGCAGTGTTCAGGATGCTAAAACAGTGTTGAATAGAAGTGGTAAGAGCAAGCCATCCTTGTCATATTTTAATTTTAAGAGAAAAACATTCAGTATTTCACTGCTAAGCATATTACTTATAGGTTTTTGGTTAGATGACCTTTCTCAGACTGAGGAAGTTCCCTTCTGTTTCCAATATGCTGAGAATTTTTTTTTTTTTTTAATTTTTATTTATTTTATTTTTTCCCCCAAAGCCCCAGTAGATAGTTGTATGTCATAGCTGCACATCCTTCTAGTTGCTGTATGTGGGATGCGGCCTCAGCATGGCTGGACAAGTGGTGTGTCGGTGCATGCCCGGGATCCGAACCCGGGCCACCAGCAGCAGAGCGCGGGCACTTAACCGCTAAGCCCCGGGGCCGGCCCGAGAATTTTTAAAATCATGAATTGGTCTTGAATTTTACCAAATGCTTTTATGAATCTATTGAGATGATCATGTGGTTTATCTCATTTGTTCTATGAATCTAATGAATTGCATTGATTTATTTTGAAATGTGAACTCAAGTTTGCATTCCTGGGATAATTTCTACTTGAACATGATGTATATAACTTTTTGTATATTGTTAGATTCAGTTTGCTACTGTTTTGCTGAGGATTTTGAGTCTGTGTTTGTGAGGGGATTTTTGGTGATGTCTTCAGCAGGTCTGGGTGGCAGGTCATGCTGGCCTCCAAAAGCAAGTTGGGAAAAGTTCCCTCCTCCTCTGTTTTTGGAAAAGTTAGTCTAAGATTGGTGTCATTCCTTCCTTGAATATTTGGTAGAAAAGCCATCTGGGCCTGGAATTTTCTTTGTGGGAAGGTTTTCTATTACAAATTCAATTTTATAAATGGATAGAGGGCTATTCAGATTTTCTGTTTCATCCTGTGGTAATTTTGGTAAATTGTATTTTTCAAAGTATTTGTCCATTTCACCTAATTTCTTGACATAAAATTATCTGTGATCTCATCTTTTTTGTGCCTGTAGGGTCTGTAGTGACAGCCCCTCTTTCTTTCCTCCCTCGTGTTGCTGACTTCTGTTTGTTTTTTCCTTCATCAGTCTGGCCTGTTTATCAATTTTGCTCTTGTTTTCAAAGAACCAACTTTTGGCTTTGTAAAATTTCTCTATTGTTTATCTGTTTTCTATTTTGTTGCTTTCTGCTCTTCATTATTTCCTTCCTTCCATTTCTTTTGGGTTTACCCTGCTGTTTTCTAGTTTCATGAGGTTGAACCCTAGGTCTTGATTAATATATTGTATTTTGTTATTATTTAATTCAAAATATTTTCTAATTTCCCTTGTAATTTTTTCCTTAGAGCTACATGTTATTTATTTATTTATTTATTTATTTTTTTTTTTTAAAGATTTTTTTTTATTTATTCATTCAGTTTTTTTCCCCCCAAAGCCCCAGTAGATAGTTGCATGTCATAGGTTCACATCCTTCTGGTTGCTGTACGTGGGACTCGGCCTCACGTTGGACGGAGAAGCGGTGCCTCGGGGCGCCCCCGGGATCCGAACCCGGGCCGCCAGCATCAGAGCGCGCGCACTTAACCGCTAAGCCACGGAGCCGGCCCAACTACATGTTATTTAGAAGTGTATCATTTAATGTTAAATACTTGAGGTTTCCCTAGATATCTTCCTATTGGGTTTCTAATTCTGTTAAGGTCAAGGAACATACTGTGTATGATTTCAGTCCATTCAAATTGATTGAAACTGGGCCCGCCCCGTGGCTTAGCGGTTAAGTGCGCGCGTTCTGCTGCTGGCAGCCCGGGTTCAGATCCCGGGCGTGCACCGACGCGCCGCTTCTCCGGCCACGCTGAGGCCGCGTCCCACATACAGCAACTAGAGGGATGTGCAGCTGTGACATACAACTATCTACTGGGGCTTTGGGGGGGAACATAAATAAATAAAATCCAAAAAAAAAAAAAATTGATTGAAACTTGTTTTAAGGCCCAACGTGTGTTATGTCTTGGTGATTTTTAAAACATATATATTCCAGGGGCTGGCCAAGTGATGCAAGCGGTTGGGTGCACACGCTCCGCTGCGGTGGCCCGGGGTTCACCAGTTCGGATCCCAGGTGTGCACCGCTTGTTGAGCCATGCTGTGGTGGCATCCCACATAAAGTGGAGGAAGATGGGTATGGATGTTAGCCCAGGGCCAGTCTTCCTCAGCAAAAAGAGGAGGATTGGCACTGGATGTTAGCTCAGGGCTGATCTTCCTCACACACAAAATATATATA